CGATTCATTTGAGCCACCAAGTAAAGAATGAAAGGCCCACATCTACTTAAGCACCTTCACCACCTCAATCCTGTGATTTTATTTGTGGAGCAGGAAGTTGTCGAGGCCTCCAAATCCCAATCCCTCTGAGCTGGGAGTCAACTGGCAGCATCCCTGCAGAGGGCTCCTGCAGGCATCCATTTCCCAAGTGCTTTGTTGCCAAGACCCTGAGTCAAAAATGAATGAGTCAAAGCTCCTGTTTATTGTGTGATGAGAGATACAGGTTCATCCTGAAGATTCTCTTTGGGTTATTCCTTACTTTGCAAAGATATAATAATTTCTGATGCAGTTGGGCTGCTTACCACCAAGGTGATCCCTGTTTCTGACCATGGATATCAGTACTGATGATTTTTTAGGAATTGGTAAATGTCCACACATCAGGAAGAGAAAGAAATAGCTAGTGAAATGGCAGTGGCCTTAAACAAGCTCTCATTTGAGTAAATGGTCTCTCTCTTCTCATTTCTTTTGCCTGCTCATTCATTCAACCACTCTTCTCTTAGGATCCAAGAAGCTCACAATCTAGAGAGACATTAAAAAAACTTGACTCATCAGTGCACAATGTATATTTAAGATGCTTGTATCACAAGCAATGGAAAATCTGGCTCATTCAGGCCCAAACAAAGAAGGAAATCTCTTTGGCTCACATGATTGAAACCTCCAGGGGAGGATTTGCTTCAGACAAACTCCTTCTCAGCAGCTCGGTCATTGGGTTTCTTTTCCATTTCTCTGCTGTCTTCTGGGCTATTGGCTATACTCTAAGGCTGGGTCCCCTCGCAGTCCCGAGATGGCCATAAGCAAATCCCAGTGCTACATACTTCCTTGTTCAAATCCAGCCAAAAAAGAAGAGCTAGTTTATTTGCCTCAGCACTCGTGTAGAGTCCTGGGACTCAATCTAGTTCAAGGGCAGCACTCCTGGCCTGAGTTAATCAGTCATGTGATCGGGAGATGGTCACATACTCCACCCCAGAGGCAGGTGTGAGCTGCACAGGAATTCTTAAATGGAACTGGGAGTGGAGAAGGGGGAGAGAGAGGTACCAAGAAATGTGAATTTCAGGGAAATGACTTTGGCAGGAGTGCTAACTGGACACGTGGGAGCATTGTAGAGGGGTCCTCCTCAGCCTGAATAGGCCCAGGGTTCTCTATAAGGATGAACTGTGCAAAAGGAAGGAATTTGAATTGATCAACCCTAGAATACACTTATAGTATATTAGACCTGGAAGCTGCCTTCACTTAGAAAATGATGAAGGCATGAAATTGATGTCCAAAGGCAAGAAGGCCAGGAATAGACTTCAAGCCGGAACTCAAGAGGCTGAGTGTTTGGGACTGCTTATCTTTCTTTTAAATTCTCAGAGAAGAAGATGAAATTACTTATGTCTTAAGGGAGCTGTTCATAAGAAGGTTCTGGTTCCAAGATCTAAACCCTATGATATAGAACTATTTTCATTGAGACAAGACTAGGCTTGATTCCCACAAATCAGGGCTTGAGACATAGCTCTACAACTTACTAACTGTGGCCGTGGGCAAGTCACTTAACCTCATTACTTAACCTCTTCATCTTTATTTATTTATTTTTTATTTTGGTGTGCAAAATCTTTTATTTCTTTATTTTTCTTACAGTTTTATTGAGATATAATTGACATACAGTACTCTATGAGGTTAAGGTATACAACATAATGACTTGACTTACATACCTCATGAAATGATTACCACAGTAAGTTTAGTGAATATCCAGCATCTCATCCAAATACAAAATTAAGGAAATAGAAAAAATATTTGTCCTTGCAATGACAGCTCAGGATTTACTTTCTTAACAACTTTCATGTATAATATATAGCAGTTAATTATTTTTATCATGTTATACATTATGCCCCTAATACCTACTTATCTTATAACTGGAAGTTTGTACCTTTTGACTGCCTTCATCCAATTCCTCCTTTCCCAACCCCATACCTCTTGTAACCACAAATCTGATCTCTTTTTCTATGAGTTTTATTTGTTTGTTTGGTTTTAAAGTGTAATTGACCTACAATACTACATCAGTTCCTGTTACACAACATAGTGATTTTTTATTTCTGTAAATTTCAGAATGATAAATCTAGTTACCATCTGTCGCCATATAAAAATATTACATAATTATTGACTGTATTCCCCACACTGTACATTTCATACCCATAACTTATTTATTTCATAACTGGAAGTTTGTACCTCTTAATTTTCCTCACCTATTTCTCTCCTTCCTCTAAGCCTTCCCCTCTGGCAACCACCTATTTGTTCTCTGTATCTATGACTCAGTTTCTATTCTGTTATGTTTGTTCATTTGTTTTATTTTTCAGATTCCATGTATAAGTGAAATCATACAGTATTTATCTTTTTCTGTCTGACTTATTTCACTTAGCCTAATACCCTCTGGGTTCATCCATGTTGACAAATGGCAAGATTTCATTCTTTTTGAGGCTGAGTAATATCCCATCATATATATCTATACACTATATCTTCTTTATCTATTCATCTATTGATGGACACTTAGGTTGCTTTCTTATCTTGACTATTGTAAATAATGCTGAATGAACATAAGAGTGCATATATCTTTTCTAATTAGAGTTTTTGTTTTCTTCAGATAAATACTCAGATGTGCAGTTGCAAAGAAATCACACAACTCAATATCAAAAAAGCAAATCACCCAATTAAAAAATGGGCAGAGGATCTGGAATAGATGTTTTTCCAAAGAAGACATGCAGATGGCAAACAGACACATTAAAAGATGCTTCACATCTTTAGTCATCAGGGAAATGCAATCAAAACTACAATGAGATATCACCTCACACCTATCAGAATGGCTATTATTAAAAAATAACAAATAACAAGTGTTGGCCAGGATTTGGAGAGAAGGGAACCCTTGTGCAGTATTGATAAGAATGTAAAATTGGTGCAGCCACTATGAAAAACAGTATGGAGAGTCCCCCAAAAAGTTAAAAATAGAACTACCATGTGATCCAGCAATAATCTCTTCGTTGTTAAAATTTGTATAACAGCACTTCCCTTGCAGAGTGACTGTGAAAAGCAGAACTAATGCCTCAAAGTGCCAGTGTGAAGCAGGCATTAAGCAACTGTGACTATTGTTATTTAAATTGAGCTGCCTCCCTCCAGATGATGCAAGGTCAGGAAAGGAATGTGCACTTTCTGGAAGAGCCTGCCTTTAGACAAGATCTAAGCAGCAGACATAAACATTTGGGAGGAATGGTATTAGGGACATGCTGTTACTGCTGGAGCCTCTGCTTTAGTTCAAATTGTGTTCTCCCTGGATTCACATGTACCTGGGTATTCCCAGCAGATGATCCCTGCCTCCTTCCTGGAAAAGGCTTTTTCTAGAGAAATCAAGTCTGGTACATAGCTTGGTTCAAGGAAATAGACTCATCTCAGAAGCATGGCTATCACAACTCCTATCACAACTCAGTGACATTGGTGTATTCAGTGGAAACGGATACATCATGTCCCAGCACAAACATCACCACAGGGAGCTGTGGGGGAGGAAAGCTGAGTGCAGGGGTCACATGGTAGCTGAGAGGGCCATGTAGGAGAGCACACATGCCCATCCCTGGGACACCCATGAACAACTTGGGGGATTCTATAGCGTCGCCTAGGGGCAGGGTTACTCTACTTTTGCTCTCAAGTGGTGTGGCCAAGGCAAGTGGATTACACAAATCCATCATTCCCCACTAGATGCACACAATCACTTCAGTGCCAAGTTAAATCAGAAGCACATCTGTTATACTGTGTCTTCAAGAAAACATGATTTAATGTTGGTTCAGCTTTTTTTGCCAGAGATAATTAAGAATGTTTTCATATATACTATAAAACTCACTATAATGACAATTTTTATTATAATGTTTAAAAACCTTATGTAAACAATCTTCGTAATTGCTTTCTCTAAATATACCGGGAATGCTTGACCATCATGTTGGTCTAGCACACTTCCTTCTTTCCTTTTCTTTCTTTTTTTTTAATGGAAAACTAAATAATTTACTATATTTCTCTTATATCGTGGCCACTTGGACAGTAAGAGTGAAATGTGGTACAGAATTGGAGTAACTTTGGTGTAGATAGATTTTATGGTAAAATTACCTCCCACTCCTCACCTTCAACATGGCTCTTGTTTTGGGTGTCTTGGGTATTGTTATTTTTATCATTAGGCTATGTTGATGTGTCTTTCCTTTAAGCCACCTAAAATAATTGGAAATACGTGAATTTACTTAGTAAATGTATTAATTGCTGAGAGAGTAAGTAAAAATTTAATCTTTTTCAGGACAGAGAACTCTTTCTTTTAAACCTCATATCATTTTTCTCTGAGGTACTCAGAGTTGAGAATAATGCTGCCCTTTTCTCAACATATTTTCATTTGAGGCAACTCTTTGTTCTGTCAAGTAGATTTATTTTCTTTATCAGATAGAGATGTGGGCAAAAGAAAATGATCTCATTGCATATGATTCCTAACACAATACCCAAGGCTCCAGACTCCAGTGAAATTTGGTATTACAAATGACTTGGGAAACCTTTCTGGTTATGAGCACTTGTTCAAAGAAACCCTGTTTGAAATAATTCACTTCCATTAATTCCGCAATGGCAATACAGACATGCTCTTGTCCTAATCTTTATGTTAGTGTTGAATAGCAAAGGGCTGCTGTTTGGGTTCCTGACCTGGCTTTTATTTAAAAGAAGAAAAAAAAAGCCATATTAAATGATAACACTTACTTGGTGTCAGTAAGTCTCTGTTTAAAGAAACAAACAAAATTATTGTCCAGCTCAAAGAGCTTTCATAGGTGAACACACCCACAGAAGCAAGACCAAAATCAGGAAACAAAAATTTACCAGCCTCCATCAGTTGCCCTCATGCCCCACCCAGTTCCTATATCCCTCCGAAAGGTAAGCATAACCCTGCTTTCTGACACCACTGATTGCTGCTTTGCCCGTTTTAAGTGTCTGCCTAAATGTAATCATTCAGTGTATACTTTTCTGTGTACTTTTCATGAGATTCAGCCTTGTTGTCCTATGTCATAATTTTTCACTTTTATTGCTCTGTACTAGTATTTCACTATATAAATATACCACAAGTCATGTATCCATTCTACTGTTGATTTCCAGTTGGGTTGTTTTAAGTTGTTGGCTCTTAAAGATAATGCTGCTATGAATATTCCTGAATATATATGTCTTAAATGAACATAGGCATGCATTTCTTTTGTGAATATGCTTAGTTATCCTGGGTCATAGGTTTTGTGTATGATCAACTTTAGTAGATACTAGAAAACAGTTTTACGAAGTGGCTGTACCAATTTCCATACTCACTAGTGGTATGGAAGAGTTCCAGTTGCTCCACATCCTTACTAACACTTGTTATTGTCAGCATGTAATGAGAACTGTGAAATTGTCATTGCATAACTTTGTTGTGTTAGTCATTCTGGTAATAACTGTTGAAGCTGAACCCTTCTCTTATGTTTATGGACTATTTGTATATGCTTCTTTTGGAAAGTGCTTTTCAAATCTTTTATCCATACTTTTGTTCTACAGCAACATCATGAAGATACTCTCCTCTGTTTTCTTTAGAAGTTTTTTTTTTTGGTTGTTTTATTTTACATTTAGGTCAACAGTCCATTTGGAATTATGTACAAAGTACAGGTTAAAATTTACTTTTTTCATAAAGGTATACAACTGATCCAGCATTATTCATTACAAAGACTATCCTTTTGCCCCTGATCTGCTATGCTACTTTTGTCATAAAATCAATTGTTTATATGTGTTTGGATCTGTTTCTGGACTTTTAAATTTGACATATTAGTTACCAGCTAATATGGTTTGGAATTGGAACGCTGGTCTGTACTATCTGATACTCTGAAGTGCCTGACTGCATTTGGCCTGTAGCCTTAGCATGAAGTTCTGAGAAAGTAAAACCAATTAATGCAGAAAATCTACTCTGAATATAACAACCAGAAAGAATAGTAGAGATTTTTTTCAATCATATTCCCTTATTTTTAAAATGAGAAAACAGGTCTACCCAAGTGTGCTGAATATCCTGTTTACCCAGCCACATCCTCCCTCCACCCTTCTCCACCTTCTGTGCCCTTGGAGGTCCCCACAACAGTGGGTTCCCTTGCCTTAAAATTTCTAGTTCATTCAGTTTATCGGGAACATTGACTTGAGGATGGAGGAAAGTGAGGTCAGATATTTATTCCCTTAGCTATCTCCCAGCAGGTTGACTGATTCTCTCCTAATATGGCTCCTGGTGAATGACCCTCAACCCTCTTCTTCCAGATGCCAATGATCACTTATTTCTTTTGTCCCAGGCCAGGGATATTAACAGTATCCTACCATTACTAGCCCCAGGAGAACACACTGAGTTTCTGATACTGCATGTACTAGACAAGAGAATGGGAGGTGGGACCCAAAGAAGAGTCAAAGGGCATATGTAATTCTCTTGATGAAGGTTCCTAGAAGCTGCTACATGACACTTCTGCTCACATTTCATTGACCAGAACTTAGTCATTTGGCCACAGCTATCTGTAAAGCTGAGAAATGTTTTAGATAGGTAAGTGCCAAACTAAAAATCTTACATGCTGAGAATAACAGTTTCTACCACCCCTTCCATTTAACTCAAGTTATTTAGCGTACTCTGGGCTACTCACTTTTCTGAGATACAGGGATGAATGATGAATGGCCCTGGTCCAGTCTAATACAGCATAGTGATTCGTCCCTCCAGCAAATGACTATGTCAGTCCCTGTGCTAAGCATTAGAGGTTCCAGAGTACACAAGACAGTGTTCCTGCTCAAGACAGTCAGTAATGAATATATACTGCTCTTATAAGTGTTACCCAGGGGAGAAGTGGCGGGGAATAGAAGAGATCTGTCTCTGAAGGGAGACCACAAGTTTGCCGTGTGAATGAGGAGACAGACCTTCCAGACTCAGACACAACATGAAGAAATCACAGAGCATGAAAGTACAGTATTTCCAGGGAGCAGCAAGGATTCTAGGGGGCTTAAGAGCATAACCTGCATGGAGGAGAGTGGGTAAAGATGGCTGGACAAGTCCATAGTGGCCAAGGAAGGCAGGACACCGTGGGCCAGTGCAGGCATCTAACAATGCCTCACTCACCCCACCCGCCAACCTCTTGGGCCGTTCATGCCCACGGAGGGCTTGCAATCAGTCACAAATAAATAATAATATCATATCAGGAAGTACATCAAGCTCAGGCCCAAGTTATATCCTTTGGAAAATTTACCAGAGATCTGAATCTTGAAATTTCAGCCTCTTTCTTGGCTTGAACAATCTGATGGAATTCTGGAATAACTTGCTTGGCCTGACTCACTCCCAATGTTGGGAAGAAAAGCAGGAGAGAAGGGGGGATCAGGAGGCCTCTCACTCCCATTTAGCGTTCAGAAACGGCTCCAAGTGGTTTGTTTTGCCATCAACACAAATGTCTAAAATGAAAAGTTTTTTTTGGTCTTCCCACAGGTACATTCTACAAAAGAAGAGGAGGACAAAGAATGACGAAAATGAAGGAGCATTATGCATTTTCATAAGTACCTATGATGGACCAGATGTTCATCCAGCTTTTGGGGCTAAACGGTGAGCAAGTGCTGTCCCTAAAGAATTCATATGCTAATAGGAGGGAAAATATATTTTTAATGTGCTTATTATCTAAAATATTTTCATGTACCTATAAATACAATGAAGAGGCTTAAAGAGGATAGATAATATGGTGAAGAGTGACTAATTAGTTAGGGCTTGAGGAAGTTCCCTCCTAGAGGTGACATTTGAGTTAAGACCTTGTATTAGTTTCCTATTGCTCTGTAACAAATTATCAGAAACTTAGTGACTTAAAACAACATAAATTTATTATCTCATGATTCTGGAGGTCAGAAGTCCCACACAGGTCTAACTGGGCTAAAACCAAGTTGTTAGCAGGGCTGCATTCCCTCTGAAGCCCCTAGTTTCCTTGCTTTCCCAGCTTTTAGAAGCTGCCTGGATTTCTTAACTGTGGCTCTTGTCCTCTACTTCAGAGCCAGCAGAATAGCATCTTCAGATCTCTCATTCTGACACTCACTCTCCTGTATCCTTCTTACACTTATAAGAACCCTTGTGATTCCTTGGACCCACTGAAATAATCCAGAATAATCTTCTTATCCCAAAATCCTTAATCACATCTGCAAACCTGATACTATGTAAATTAATATATTCACAAGTTCTGAGGATTAGGATGTGGGCTTCACTGGGGTCCATTATTCAGCATATTACAGACCTAAATGGTGAAGCATGGTGAGACGTGCTGCCAACATGCACGTCTTAGGAAGGAGCATTCCCAGCAGAGCAAGCACAAGGGCCCTGGGGTGAGAATAAACATAGCATTTTTAAGAGACAAAAATATAGAAATGAGGCCACATCTCCAGAGTCCAGTTTTCGCTGGTACTTTGGAAAGGAGGTTTGTCTTGGGGACCTGTCACATCTGAAAAATCAGACAGAGCAGAGCAAAGCATCCTAACAAGGAGATACAATCGACAGATATTTACTTGCTTGTAGATATATCCACTTTGCAGCCTAACCCTGACACTTTGCCAAATTTTTCAAAATTTTATATTCTATTTTTAAAAACATAAAATCAAGTGTTATTAATACCTTTGAAACCTTTTACTGGAAATACTCATCTTTTGATTTGATGTTGGAAGCCTTCAGCATTGATTTTTTTCAATATACTATCATTTATTATTCTCTCCCAGCAGATAAAATCTATAGCTGGAGGGAAGTAGAATATCAAGGATGAAGGGACATCTAAGAGAAAGTTTAGAATGTCTAGAAAATAGGTGTCTCTCTTCTCACATGAATATGCAGTTTTTTAAAAAAATAAAAACATACAGTTTAAACAGTGAAGTAAAATAAATGAAACCGCATTCTACAAGTCTCCCAGAATACATGTTTTCAGTATTCCAGATCGGCAGGATGGTGGGTTCAGGAGGAGGTCAAAACATAACTTATCCAACTTTTGTTGTTGGTTATCACAACACTGAAGACTGAAATGTTCTTTCTTTCAAATCAAAAATCTGTTTTCTGTGAATTTTTTGCAGTTTTAGTGAACTTAAATATCTACTAGAATGCTGTGAGTCACATTCTAATAATAGCCATCACCATCATCCTCTTACTCTTTTATATGTGCTGTTATTAGTACTTCAGAAAGATCAACAGATACGGACGGAGGGGATACAATGTGCTGTCATCTCCTGGTGGCTCAGTGTATGATACCTCAACAGGGGTCAGCCAGCACATGATGACTTTCAGACCCAGAGCAGTTAACAAACTGCTGGTGGGTCAGCAAGTAAGTGGTGGGCCGCTAGGGTCCACTTCCAAGGGACAAACCCAGCACCATGGCCTGCAATTCTTTATGAAGTGGAAACTCACTATTTTTGTTTTATTTTTATTTTCTTTACTTATTAATTTTAATATTCCTAATATCTTTAGCACTAAATCTTCTTAACCATTATATGTAAAAGACACCATCCTTCCCAATTATTCTTCCCAAAGGCATCAACTATTAGCTGTTTCTTTGGGGTCTTTTCAGAATTGTCTTTCTATGTTTATAACAAAGTATAGTATTGTATCCAATCATAATATACCATATCTTATCTGTTTTCCCTTGTGAATGGTCTACACTGTACACATTGTTGGACAACTTGAACTTTTCACTTTGCTCAGTACCTTGGGCGACCTTCCATGGCAGCAAATCAGCATTTTGAAAGTGCCCCCTGCAGAATCACAGACCTTATGGTTTCTCTGTGGTTCACTGCTTGTGTCTGAAGAATAAAGTTACTGAAATGTGTCCAGATCGTGGTTTTCAAGAGAAAGAAATCCATTGTATATATAACTGACTTCATCCCAATGCATGACTTTGCTTTGGCTGTTAGTATATTATTTTCCTTATCACATCATCTGAGATAATTAAAGGACTTTGAAATGTCGCCTTCATTCCTCTTATGGCTTGTGAACAAAACTCTCACAGGCTTTCAAATTTGTCATTTCAACAAATATCCATTTTGACAGCCCAGGTCAAGTAATTTCTCTAAGAGAATATGTATAAAATGAGATCCAACTTGAATTAATTACCATAAATTATGAAACAAATGGGTCACCATGCTTGTGAATTTACAAAAGACTTAGAAAAAAATATGAATATTTCTTTCATAAATCTTGTAAGATGATAATTTATTTTGCTTTTAGTGGCATATGAAAACAGAATGAATTCCTTGTATATTCGATGTCTCCCTCTTCAAAGAGGTACTGGTGGCTTCAAATAAGGGATTAAATTAAGATTTCATCAAAATCACATAAAACATGATTTTGAAAAGTGATGGATCTAAATAATGTCCAAAAAGATGGTGAGCTTTACCCCTTTCCCCCATAAACAAAGCAGGCTTTGATCTGGTCTTTGTGCTCTGAGGAGACAATGTGACTCTTCATGGAAGACATGTCACTAGAATACAGGAAGGAAGAACTTACATCCACTTTATTTTGTCAGGCCCTGGCCTTGAAAGTTTTTATAACCAAATTAATAAATCTCTGTCTTGGGAATATGTTATACCCTCCTAAACAAGAAAAATGCAAACTAGAACAGCACATTTTTCTTGCTATCATCAACAGCCCCACCTAAGCAAGATATTTCCTATGAAATATGGTATGAAGGCTTTATTATTGAGCAGAATTGTTTCATTTTATTTTGTAACAGCTTTAGTGAGATAATAATTCACATACCATACAGTTCACCCACACTTGGTTTTCAGTTCAAATTTCTCAACTTCACTAAACCTTAGTCTTTTTATCTGTAATATGGGAATAAATAATAGTAAGACCCACTGATTTGCTGTGCAAATTAACGTGTCTATGGCCCATAGTAAGTGCTGAATAATGAAAACATAATAAGATTTAATTTTTACATACAACATTTGTTGTTGAACTTCGTAATCAATCATGTCTCTAATTCGGATTTCCTGCTTTGACAGTGGAAACTTTAATCCTGTTGATTTATGGTAATTTCCATTACTGGATTTAGCTCAGTTTAGCTGAAGCTAAATCTGCCTCTTCTGATTAAAAATGTAGTCAATGAAAAACTCTGTCCCTCTTCTGCTAGGTTCAGTCCCAAGCTCTATGGGGCCCTTATGACATTGTGGCTGGTCTGCACCCACTCGTGCTCTGATGTGGAGACTTCTCTCTCCTCTTGGGATGGGCAGTGCAAGGAGATGGGTGGCTACAGGGCATCTTGATGCCTCCTCTGCCATTCTGAGCCCCAGAGGATGCTTGCTGTTACCTCTGCTGCCCTCCAAGTGTTCAATGGACAGGGGCATCTGCAGGGCTTCAGCTCTTGGGAGACCCAGGCAGGAAATGGGGCAAACGTTCACTGCCACCCTTCAAGTCCAGACTGCAGGCCCCTCGCTGCACCCGCATGGAGGCAGGAGGGGAAAGGGAGGCACTGCACCTGACTTTCTTCCTCTTTCCAAACTCTGTTGTCCAATCCTGTTCAGGTTCACAGCACAGCAGAAAAAGCTGGGCTCTTGGTTCTGCTTGTTTCCATTGACACCCCATAGTACCCCCGACCCTTGGCAACTGAAAGTCTGAAGGGAGGGTGAGCCTGAGAAAGAAAATGGGACTGTGCATGCAAGTCAATGAGTTACTATAGCCATGAGGTATTCCATATTAATCTATATCCCTAACTTTACCTCATCACCACAAAAACATTCTCCACTGTCTTCTCTGAGTGCAGATTTGTTCCTTACTTTTCTCTCTTGGAAGATGAAATCTGAAGGGTTTCATAATTCTAGATTTACTTCTCTGTGTCCTCACTTCTTGCTTCCATTCTTTGGTCTCTGGTACCCTGTACATGATGTGCTGCCCTATATGGAGTGTTATGGGTTAAATAATGCTCCCTCCCCCACCAAAAAATTACATGTTGAAGTCCTAGCCCCCAATACCTCAGAATGTGACCTTGTTTGGGGAAAGGGTCATTGCAGATGGAATTAGTTAAGATGAGATCATACCATTAGGGTGGCCCCTAATCCAGTATGATTGGTGTCCTTATTAAAAGGAGAAATTTGGACACAGAATACACACAGGGAGATAAAGACAAGATTAGAGTGATGATTCTACAAGCCAAAGAATGCCAAAGATTGTCAGCAAAATATCGGAAGTTGGAAAGAGACCTGGAACAGATTCCCTCTCAGAGCCCTCAGAAGGAATCAACTCTGCCAACACCATGATCTCAGACTTCTAGCCTCCAGAACTGTGAGACAATAAATTTCTGGTATTGAAGCCACCTAGTTTGTGGTGCTTTGTTACAGCAGCTCCAGGAACCTGAAACATGGGACACACTGTGTTGTCTTTCCAGCTCACTGTTGTTCTGGGAAACCTCCCTCCCTCCCCATTTACTGTGAGAGCAGCCATGTTGAACAACGTGACCCCAGTTTTGACTGGAGTTCACCAAGAACTTGCATTTCAGACCAGGGAGCAAGTCTCCAGTGACGGAAGCTGAAAAATACAAAACTTGGTAACTGCCAACAACTGTGTTTTTCACAACAAAGAGAGAGCCAGTCTGCCACAAGACAAAGCTGGCACCCAGAGAAGCAGAGACGAGGCTGGGAGGGAGCGCTGGCGGCTTTCCAGCGCTGGCTCCATCGGTGCCGCAGGCTCCAGCTCTGTGGGGACCTGGCTGTGGCCCGAATTCCAGAAGACTGCCGTGACTGTCTGGTATATTCCTCTTTTTATCTAGGCTGACTTATACAAGGTTTGTGGCACTTGCAACTCAGGCTTCTAGTTGATATATTCTCCAAAACTCATGTACTCCTACTTTTAATAATAAGTGGAAGATTGCTGCTCTAAGTAAGAAATTATGTTCTTATCAGAAATGGGTACAGTATCCAGAAAAGAGCCTTATTTAAAATTAAACTTGGTGAAAAAAATATAAAGTAAATTTTGTTGGAAGATTCTTTGTTCAATGAAACTTTAAGCCATCATAAACAGGAAGAAATTAGATTAATTTCTTTACCTTTTAGATGAAACCAAAAATAATTCAGTAACAGGCAACTTTGATTTTTCATGAACATATTATAGTGTTTATTAACCTATAGAAACAGTGTAGTTCTTTATAAACTAAAAGTCATTTTGCAGATCTGTGAAAGTGTTGTTTTAACTATTCATTAGCTTTATTTTCAAAGACTGTATTAGCCCATGATAAGTTTCAAATGCCTGGCATTTTGCCTGAGAAAATATTTGCTATTTAATATATTAACAATAAGGTCTTTTCCTGTCTACCCATTACTACATTTTGTAAAATCTTGGAAAATAACTACTTAGTTATTCTGATATACACACTTCTTAATCTTTTCTAATATGTCCTAGAGATATAATCTCACAGGCTACTATCTTTATGTCAGAAAAGAATAAGCAAGTGAAATTAGAGTTGGAAATTAAGAAATAAATTCAGTAATTCTTATGCTATTTTGCATACTGAATGGGGAATAGATTAGTTTTCTGTTGCTGCGTAACAGTTTACTCCAGAACTTAGTGGCTTCAAATGGCATTAAATACTTACTGTCTCACACAGTTTCTGTGAGTGAGGCATTTGAGAGTGGCTTAGAAGGGTAGTTCTGGCTCAAAGTTTTGCATGAGGTTGCAGTGAAGATATCAGCCAGAGTTACTTTCTGAAGGCTTGACTGGGGCTGGGACATTCACCTTCAAGGGAGCTACTCACTTGGCTGGCAGATTGAAGCTGGCTATAGTCAGGAGGCCTCCTAACCACCTGAACCTTCTTACAGTGCTTCTTAAATGTCCTCATGATATGACAGTTGGCTTCACCCAGAGTAAATCATCTCAGAGAAAGCAAAGGTAGAACCTGCAATTTTTTTATGACCTAACCCTGGGTCCCACACTATTATGTTCACAATATCCCAATATCCCGGTCAGCACTATTCAATATGGAAGGATAAGAATACTGGGAGGTGGAAATCACTTGAGGCCACCGATCATCTTGGAGGACTTGTTAATCTACTACAAGTATTAATGGGGGAAGGAAATCTATGTTTAAAAAAGCACAGAAAATACATTTCAAAGTGTATATATTTAAGAAAACTTTTTTTAAAAATTAATAACAGAGTCACAGAATTCTAGAATCAGAAAAAAACCTGGATATCAACCAGTCTAACTTGGTCATAGAGACTGAAACCCAGAAAGGTGATGATACTTTTCTGACTTCACATAGCAAATAAATGACTGAATCAGGGTTACAGCTAGGGCACTTTACTGTTAAGGCTTGTGATGAATAACCTCGCCTGGAAATCAACATCCGTTCCAACCTCCTTCCAATATGCCTTCCTACTGCAGAGGCTGGAACACCTAAACGCTAACCCAACTCCCTTGCAGCTAGAGTTCCAGAAGTGATTTGAGCCAGGCAACCAGATTGCTGACTTGAGATCTGGAAACTGGAAGTGATAGAGGGAATGGGCTGTTTGCAACTTGTGCTGTTTCTGTTGGCAAAGATTACTGCAGGAGAGTTACATTGTCCTGTGGCTGAGGTAGCTGAGGTTCCCGTGCTCTGGTCACCAGCATGGTAAGAGCCAAAAGGCAGGGCTCAGATAAATTAGAATGTACCTATCAGATGGGTCATGGCTTCAAGGCTAAGTGTTGCAGCAGTGGCTTCCTGATCTCCAAAGAGTACATAAGCTAACATATTCTTGGAGTGAACAACTTCAGTGACGATGGCCACAATCAAGAAAGTAGGAAATTAAGTGGTTAACAACTCCCCAGGAGGACCAGTTCAATGGGGTGGTTTCTGGAGTTGTTCCTGGATTCCAACCCAGAGCTATTATTTCAATCATATTTCAGCAATTTTGTAAGCACCTAATTCTCTGTATCAAATCTCATTCTCATAAAATAGAGCGGTGCCTGTTAACTGCACCTAAATTCTGTTACAGACTATGTTAATATATAAGAATGAGAAAAGCAGCTTGACATAAGGAAACTGGCTTGACACTTACAGCTACATTTCACGGTTGTTAGGAAGCACCCCGGCGTTTACAGATAGGCCATGTGTTCTCCAACTGAATGTAAACAATTTCTCAGAACGTCAGCTTCAGACAAGACCCCTCTGTTGACTGTAATGGATCAAGACATAAAGACTGCTCTGTATCATGTTTGAACTCAGACAAACTATGAACATTTTCCAAATCACAAAACTGACCAAACATTCCCCTATTCTTGCTCATCTGAGTAACTGCTGCTTCTTTACCAATTATAACTTTAGCCTTCCCTCTTCCTAGATTGGATTTATTAAGATACCCAGTCAAAGCTTTGCTCCTCTTCCTGACAGCATTCAGTCTAGGCATGATCCCTGTTTCCTTTCCCCATCCCCATGTCACCTAACATTAGCCCATAGCCTGCAAGTCCTTTCTAATCCCCTCTTACTGTGCACAGTTTGCTTCCCTGCAACGAGTAATAAACCCAACAGATGTGTTCCTGCTGATCTTTAGCTGAAAGGCATTGACATACATAATTTGGTTTGAAAACCTCATGCTGTTCTAGTTGTATGAACTATTTATACTGGTTACTTGCTATGAATAAATTCTATGAATAAATAAATGATTTGACATAGAATTAGTATTTCTTTTCTGCCTTTTTCTCACCTGTGCTTCTTTATGAAAGCCAAAAAATGCCATAGTAGCAGTTTTGTGTCACCACAAGCCCAACAATTGTATGCATCAAATGATTTTTAAAAATCAAAAAAGAAAGGATAGACAGTAAGCCTACAAGGCAGTTAAAAATTAGAGGTAAGCAATTATATAGTGAATTGAGTGATAATTGAATGCCCACAATATACCAGACACTTGTGACTGTCATTTACATATCATTGACATCACAACTATATTGCAAGGTAGGAATTTTAATTCCCATTCTATAGAGGAAAAAACCGAGGCTCTGGAGCTTAATGACCTACTTGGCAGCATCCTCCCACCTACCAAGTAATAGTGCTTGTATCTAAACTCAAGTTCCTAAAGATCATGTGTTTCCACAACAAAAAATAGAGATAAATGGACATTTCCAAATGAAAGCAGAAGATCCAATTTTTTTCTAAGTATTAGGTTTTTGGGTTTGGTGTCACTTGTCAGAATAGAAAACATCTGTTAAAGTATTTGAGTATGTTTTTAAAAATCCTTGATTCAGTGCCCATTTCCTGTTTAGGACTCAAAACTTCATCATACAGTTAATGATTTTTTTTTTCCCCTCAGTCTTGGGAAAAAACAAAAGTTAAGAAATGAGAAAATAAACAAGTTCACAAAAATTTGTGTGCATCTTTCCTAAAAGATATGCAGTATTTTCTTAGATTAGTCTCTGAAGGCAAAAGAAATAAAAGCAAAAATAAACCAATGGGACCAAATCAAACTTACAAGCTTCTGCAAAGTGAACTATCAACAAAATGAAAAGACAGCTACAGAATGGGAGAAAATACTTGCAAATGATGAGATCAACAAGGGTTGATTTCCAAAATATGCAAACAGCTTATACAACTCAATATCAAAAAACAAACAATTCCAAATCAAAAAATGGGCAGAAAGTCTAAACAGACTTATCTCCAAAGAAGATGTACAGATGGCCAACAGGTACATGAAAAGATGCTCAATGTCACTAATTATTAGAGAAATGCAAATCAAATCTGCAATGAGGTTATCACTTCACACTGGTTAAAAAATCTACAAATAAATACTGGAAAGGGTATGGAAAAAAGGCAACCTTTCTACATTGTTGGTGGGAATGTAAATTGGTGCAGCCACTATGGAGAACAGTATGGAGGATCCTTGAAAAAGTAAAAATAAACTTACCATATAATCCAGCAACCCCACTCCTGGGCATATATCCAGAAAAGATGAAAACTATAATTTGAAAAGATACATGCACCCCAATGTTCAAAGCAGCATTATTTACAATAGCGAAGACATGGAAGAAAACTAAGTGTTCATTAACAGATGAATGGATAAAGAAGATGTCATATATATATATATATATGCAATGCAATACTATTCAGCCATAAAAAAGAATGAAATATTGAAGTAACGTGGTTGGACCTAGAGTTTATCATCATACTGAGTGAAGTAAATCAAAGACAAATATTATATAATATCACATATGTGGGCTCTAAAAATTAATACAAATAAATTTGTTTACTAAACAGAAACAGGCTCACAGACAGAAAACAAACTTATGGTTACCAAAAGGGAAAATGGTGGAAGGGGTAAATTAGGAGTTTGGATTAACAGATACAAACCTCTATATGTAAGATAGATGAACAACAAGGATTTACTGTATAACACAGGGAACTATATTTAATATCTTGTAATAACCTATAATGGAAAAGAATCTGAAATAGATATATGTATAACTGTACCATTTTACTATAGAACTGAAACTAATACAATATTATAAATCAACTATTCTTAAATTTAAAAAAAAAGATAAATTCCACATGAACTGGAACAGATAATGCACTTGCTTGCTATTTAATGGTAATACTAAAGAAATGAGAGTGATTTACTAGATGGAAGAAATTTCATTAATACATATCATGATTGAATGTTTTTACTACCACTCATTTATGCCTTAGAAGAGGTTATAAAAGAGGTTAGATACTTCTGACTCTTTGACACAGTCCCCTGGTTGTGAATAAAAGCCACTGTAACCAACCCCTCAAATCTGAAGGA